TGCTTCGCTGTTAGCTTCTTACTTATCAAGCCTGTGAACTGCACCAAGCCTGTGAACTGCACCTGTGTTTTGTCTACTGTTCGCCTGGTTCCCAAGACTTGAGCAGGCAACCGTTTTCTCCTGCCCGCCAGCGGGAACGTTATCCATTGGTTGTGTTTCTAACTTGAATCCCTTTATCATGTCTGCCCTAACTGCTTGTGTTCAGTTCTAACAAAGAACGTGTTTGAGTATCTTCCCAATGCTTTGAAATAAACTTTACTTTCTTTGAAACGTGGATTTATTCTCGATGCTTGGGGATCCAACAAAGAGATGGAGGTGGTGCGCCCCAGGGACCTGCCATCTCGACCCCTTTTCCTTGTTCAGCCATCTCTTCCTGCCCCCCACAGACACAGTGTGTCTGGCCTGAGCCCCTCACAGGAGGCAGCTCCAGGGGTGCCCATGGCTGCTAGTCATCGTGGGTGCCCCTTCACCTCTGAAGTCTGGAAGCACTTCCAGGAGACAGAGAATCCCCGCTTTGCACAGTGCCAGCTGTGTAGGGCCCGGGTAAGTCAAGGGAAGGACACCGCCCATCTCTCGACCTCCGGGCTGCGGAACCATTTGAGGAAGCACCACCAGGCAGGTGGTGTCTTCTTCAGGGGGAGAGACAGGCTGCTGCTGGGGTGCCCAAGCGGCCACCGCCAACCAGCCAGGAGGTGAGTCGTCCGGCGACCACCTCCAGCACTCTCCCTCAGCGGTCCACGGCAGGGCAAGCATCTCTGACAGAGATGCTTGGTGACGTCGGCACTAGAGTGCCTGGAGGGGAAGGCAGCAGGCTAGCAAGAGGGTCACTTGCCTCACTGCGGAGATGCTTGCTCTAGATGGGCGCCCTTTCTCTGCCGTCGAAGACGTGGGTTCCCGCAGGCTGATCCAGGATGCCTATCCCTGGTACACGACCCCTGCTCGCAACACGCTGAGGACTGCGATGCCCTCATTGTACAGGGCTGCCAGGGACCACGTGAAGGCACACTTGTCCCACGCTCGTGGGAGATATGTGCCCTTCACATCCAACGTCTGGGCCTCCTGTCAGGCACATGATTCATACCTTTCGTTGACTGCGCACTGGAGGCAACCAAGCGACATTTTGGGAGGGGGTGGGGGAACTAGTGTCAGGCAGGGTCAAGGCTGCCAGGCCGGCTATTGCCAGGCTCTGCTCCACATCGAGAGACTCGACGGGTCGCACATGGCGGACAGCATCTTGGCCACCATCCATAGATAGTTAGAGGGGTGGGTAGGTAGGGACCTCACCATGGGCTTCATGATGACGGATGGTGGCCAGAACATTAGGGCAGCAGTAAAGCGATTGGGCCTGATGCACATTTACTGTGCAGCCCACCGTCTTCACCTCGTGATCAAGGATGCTTTGGGGTTGGGCTCTGCGGAGAACCCCAATCTGGACACTGAGACTCGTGAGTTCTGGCACCTCCCCCAGAAATGCCAGTACATCGTGAGTCACATCTCTCGCAGTACGAAGAACACCTTTCTGCTGTGTGAGAAGCAGGTGCTGACGGGCGTGCCGGAGCACCACCTGCTAGGCGATGTTCCCACTCGCTGGAACACCACCTGTGTCATGCTTGAACGCTTGTTGGAGCAGGAGAGCGCCCTGACTGCCCTGATCTCTGAGAGTGGGGTCCTTCGGGAAGAGAGCCGGCTCAGTCGGGAGGACTGGCTGACCATCTCTCAGACTGTGATCGTTCTTAAGACCTACACAGAGATGCTCTCGTCTGGCTCTGGTCATCCCCATGGTCCACACGGCCCGTGAGGACTTGGCCTCGTTTCTGGAGCCAGCTGCAGGACGTGCAGACATGCTTCCAGCAGTGGGCGTGCTGGTGAGAAGGCTGCAAAGCGGACTCGAGGAACGCTTTCGGTCTATCCTCCGGCAGAAGGTCTACAGGATGGCGACCACGTGTGACCCACGCACCAAGGGCAAGATCACCGAGCGGGCCAAAGAGTTCACTCAATGGCAAAGACGAGCTCTCCCGGCGAGTTGAGCGCATGCGGGCCAAGAGGGTCACGTTGCCACGAGCTGAGGGAGAGGGGGGGTACCGGCAGCTCCACTGCTGTTCATCCCCCACCTCCCCCGCCAGGCAGAGTGCCCCCCCAATGCTCCCGCCACGATGACAGTTGAGATGGCAGTCATCGGGCGGAACTTTGGCCCCTCTCCTGGGAGTGGTAGGCACACGAGAGGACACAGCGGCCGCAATGGCGAGGGACTACCTTTCGGAGCCCTACGAGTTGCAAGCAACCTGTCCACTGAGCTACTGGGCCATGAAGGAGGCGGTCTGGCCGGACCTCTCTGCCGTGGCCCAGGAGCTCCTCTCACGCCCTCCGACGCGCGTGCAGAGTGAGCGCTTTTCCCCATGCGGGCGACATTGTCTGCTTGCCTCGCTTGCGCCTGCTCCCTTGGTCAGTTGGTCTTCCTGAAGGCCAACTTGCCACTGTTCGGTTTCCTGGCCCTAGACTTTGAGGGTGATTGAAGTGAGCGTGCATACTTGTGCCTGCAATCCCCTCTCAGCCTGCACTGGGAAGTTCAGTTACAACGCTTTTTTTCGCTCTTCCCGTGATTAAAACTAGAGAGGCTAGGTAGAAGGAGCAGCCAGGGCCATGACCATTTTGATTGGCACAGAAATGCCCCACCAGTCTCCCTACTTCCACCCATCCCACCCGCGGCAGAAATACCTCCACAGAACCCTGGTAGCCGTGCAGTGCAGGGCGATGTTGAGGGTGGTGCCTGTATGCACCTGAGTCACACTACCAAACCAAAACTGCGTGCTGAAATTAAAACAGCATCACAAAACTGGTTCTCCATCTGAACAAGGTAGAGTAGGGTAGATGCCAAGCAGCCAGACAGAAACAAGCAGAACCCACAGGAGCACCATAAATAATGAATGTTAATTGAAAAAGACTTTTCTTTTGCAGGGGTGAGGTGGGAAAGGGAGAGCCTGTGATGAAGGGCAGCTGCCACACCTAGGCTAAGACTCCGCCACTGAGGCAGGCAGTGATGGCTGGTGTGCTGCTGCTGAGAGAGGAGGATCAGTGGACAGACACCACCCCCTCCCTCTCACTTGCTGAGGCAGTCCTGGGCGGGTCTTCTGATTACTTAACGTTGCACAGGTTCTGCTGCTGCAGGCCTGGCAAACAGTGGCACTGGTTCTGCAATGCCCCCTTGGTTTATGCTGCAGAGATCTTCTGATTTCACCTGAGTTCTGTTGGGGTTGGGCACTGACTGCCACAGTGGCACAGGTTCTGGGGGCCACATTGCACTGGTTCTGCAATGCCCCCTCGGTTTATGCTGCAGAGTTCTTCTGATTTTACCTGAGTTCTGCTGGGTTTGGGCACTGACTGCCACAGTGGCAGGCACAGGTTCTGCTGCTGGTCCGGCAAACATGCCCCCTCAGTTTATGCTGCAGAGATCCTCTGATTTGACCTGAGCCCAGTTAGGTGACTGCCACAGTGGCACTGGTTCTGGGGGGCACACTGCACAGGTTCTGCTGCTGGTCCAGCAAACATGCCCCCCTCCAAACCAGCACACCTCACTTGCTTTCTCACAGAGAGATTCTTGGGGAGACACTGTCTGCTGCCTGCCCCTTTCCCATCCCCATAGGAAACAATGGAGAATTGGGGGCACCGTCTTTGGATGCCCTTGGAATCGGACCCCCTGGTCCAATCTTTTCAAAGCTTTGGGGGTCTTTTGGGGAGAGGCGCCAGCAGCTACAGTACAAATTTGGTGCCTCTACCTCAAACCCCCTCCCCCCCAAAAAAAAACTTGTTAGAAGATTTTTGCCATTGACTACAATGGCCCCCTAGGATATAATGGACCCAACTTTTTTTGGATATCTGTAAATTTTTGGATATCTATACAATGCTGGTATTGGTATTCGGGTTTTTTCGGTATTCCCGAAAACAAATTGGATTCAATATATCCTAACCCGAAAAAAACTGATTTCCCCCCCCCTGCACACCCCTAGTAGTGAAGCGTAGCCAGGTGAAAGTAGAGGCCAGGGAGGGGGGGGGCGAGCCATGGATTACAAAATTCAAAGCAGCTTTCACAGACTCTGACAGGGAAGAAACCGCTAAAGATCCCTCCATCCAGCTAAGTACAAATGGATGCTGGTATGGGGGGGGGGGGCAGACTGTTTGTGCCAAAGGCCCTCCATTTATTTATTTATTTATTTGATTTTTATCCTGCCCTCCCGCCGAAGCGGCTCAGGGCGGCTTACAACAGTAAAACCAATAAGCAACACATCTAAAACAGTCTATAACACCACAATAAAATCGCAGTTTACACACAATACAACATACACATGGCGGCAACCATAAAGTGCTATCATGCTAGGTCTGGGTTATTAAATGCTTGGCGGAATGGAGATGTTTTGTACTTTGGACATGAATCCCGGCTAACTGGACATTTCGGGTATTTAAAAACTCTCCATCTGCTTCAGCGGCAGTTTTGGTGGCCCCACATGAGTGACACACAAGCCATATCTATCTATCTATATGCATGTATGTGTGTGTATAGAGGAGGGAAAAGAGAGAGGGAGTGTGTGTGAGTTCGTGTGTGTGTGTGTTGGGGGGTGTGTGTGTGAAATTCCTGCCAAGTCCCCTTGAGAGCAAATCTGAATGAAAAGCATACATTTCAAAAATGCCTACTGGATTAACTAGAAGATCTCCTTCCTTCTCCCCATGCACATCAAGCACTACTTTTCCTAAAAGCAGAATGCCAAATTTCTGCTTCACAACATCATCCTTTCCCCCCACGTTTCTCACATGGACTGTTTATGTGATTCTGTTTTCTAGACAGCTGGAGAGCTCTAAGACTGGGGGGGGGGGAGAGAGAATGCTTAAAAAGCCACAAACTACCTCAGCGCCAAGAGGAAAATCAGCAACACCTTTCACCCAATAATTCATTTGCCCACCTTACTGAAATGGCAGCTTTTCTATCCATAGCTACGGTACAACGTTACCTTTGCTCCCATGTTCGCCTGAAACCTCTTGAGCTGCCTAAGGCGCATGTATTCTGACTTGACTTTCCTTTTCCAATAAAGGATGCATTTTGATGTAGGTGGAGCTGGAATCTCCACTTTCCTGGGGAAGAGAGAGCAACCGGAAAGTGAACTGTGCCGACGGGCATACTGGTGAAGAGCAACCTCGAGCACATCGAGTTAACTCGGTAGTACATACTCTACACAGGATAAAAAGTCTAAGCCTCTTTTTTTGAGGACAACTACACATGCCCATGGCCATGTTGGCTTACCTTGCATAAGTCAGTTAGCAAAGAGGTGCGCTACCATGTAGCGGAAAGCCCTCATTCACGGACGTTATGGCAGGCCAAGCCAAAGCATCACTCCAATAAAGATATACCATCTTTCCCCAAGATAAGCCTTCTATCTATTCTCAAACGACAACCTCCACATGACACCAGATTGGGCATATGCATACGGAGCGAAATTGTCCCAATCACAACCACCAATTGGCCATTATGGTTCCGCTAAGCTGCCACCATTACCAACGACACCCCTGCAATGGTTTCCACTGAACCTGAGGCACAGTGGGGTTTGGGGAGGCAGCCTGATTAGGGCTGCCAAATCCTGGTTGGGGAATTCGTGGAGATTTAGGGGAGGCCAAAGCCTGGGGAGGGGAGAGGAGCCAATGTTCCCTCTACGACGTGGAGTTCAGTGAGCAAAAATTCTACTTGGTGAGCTACGGGCATTAAAGCTGTGAGTGAGCAATTCTGCGACGGCAGAATTAGTTTCCTCCGGAGCCCTCCTTCCTGAGCGAACGCAAAAAGGGTGAGCCGGAAGCTAGAAAACTGTGAGCTGGCTCACACTCACTCAGCTTAGAGGGAGCACTGCCTCCCATATGTGAAGAATGCAAATGTCCTTGACCGTCCACGCCTTGATTCGGCTACTGCAGAAATCAGTTTGCCCTGGAGCCCTCCTCCCGCAGCTGAGACAAAAACGTGTGAGCTGGAGGCTAGACAACTGTGAGCCGGCTCACACTCACTCAGCTTAGAGGGAGCACTGCCTCCCATATGTGAAGAATGCAAATGTCCTTGACCATCTCGGCTACTGCGTCAATGAGTTTGCTCTGGACCCTTCCTCCCTGCTGAGGAGCTGAGACAAAAACGTGTGAGCTGGAGGCTAGACAACTGTGAGCCGGCTCACACTCACTCAGCTTAGAGGGAACACTGCCTCCCGTATGTGAAGAATGCAAATGTCCTTGACCATCTCGGCTACTGCGTCAATGAGTTTGCTCTGGACCCTTCCTCCCTGCTGAGGAGCTGAGACAAAAACGTGTGAGCTGGAGGCTAGACAACTGTGAGCCGGCTCACACTCACTCAGCTTAGAGGGAACACTGCCTCCCGTATGTGAAGAATGCAAATGTCCTTGACCATCTCGGCTACTGCGTCAATGAGTTTGCTCTGGACCCTTCCTCCCTGCTGAGGAGCTGAGACAAAAACGTGTGAGCTGGAGGCTAGACAACTGTGAGCCGGCTCACACTCACTCAGCTTAGAGGGAACACTGCCTCCCGTATGTGAAGAATGCAAATGTCCTTGACCATCTCGGCTACTGCGTCAATGAGTTTGCTCTGGACCCTTCCTCCCTGCTGAGGAGCTGAGACAAAAACGTGTGAGCTGGAGGCTAGACAACTGTGAGCCGGCTCACACTCACTCAGCTTAGAGGGAACACTGCCTCCCGTATGTGAAGAATGCAAATGTCCTTGACCATCTCGGCTACTGCGTCAATGAGTTTGCTCTGGACCCTTCCTCCCTGCTGAGGAGCTGAGACAAAAACGTGTGAGCTGGAGGCTAGACAACTGTGAGCCGGCTCACACTCACTCAGCTTAGAGGGAACACTGCCTCCCGTATGTGAAGAATGCAAATGTCCTTGACCATCTCGGCTACTGCGTCAATGAGTTTGCTCTGGACCCTTCCTCCCTGCTGAGGAGCTGAGACAAAAACGTGTGAGCTGGAGGCTAGACAACTGTGAGCCGGCTCACACTCACTCGGCTTAGAGGGAACCCTGGAGAGGACTCTGTAGGGCCCACCTCCACCAGGGGGGACCCGGCCTCTGTCGTCTGGAGACCTGCAGGTCCCACCTGGGGCCTGGCCAACCCTGTACGGGCCTCCCGAGGGGCCCCTGGCGTTTCTGGCCAGAGTGTCGGACTGGACGGCCCGCTGGCCTGATCCCGCCGCCGCCCCGGGCAGCTCCGCGGACGCAGAGAGCGAGAGCCGCGGCACCGGCCCCCTCCCCTCCCGTCCCCTCCCTGGCTGCCCAGCCCTCCCCCTCCCGGCGACCGAACGGGCACTCACTCCTGCGCCA